CCGGCCTGCGGCCTCCGCCCGCCGGCTTTTCTGTCTTTCGCCGCCGCTGCGCGGTGTCGCGGGGTGCTTACAGGGCTCCTGTGCTAGCTGCAGGAAAGGGGAGCTGGTGCTGCGTCCCTCGCGTGGGTGGGAGGACGGTGCGCTTCAGCTCTTGCCTGCCATGGGTGCGAGCTTGGGTTTCTTGCCACCTTGTGTGCTTGTCGTACTGTTAAAAGCTGCCCTGGCAGCTGTACTTTTCCGTGCTAGATAGTGGTGTGCTTCCTTGCAAACGGAGTTACCCATCTTCACGAGCACGCTGCTGTTTCGAGTGCCTGCTCATGGTGCGTGTGATTGCTTGCTTGTGGTGACAAATATAATGGTCTTAGTGTAACTTCTGGGACGTGACATACAGCAGTCGTCGCTCAGGTTTGCCAGGTAGAAGTAGTACCTATTTTGACTTGGCTGGGTGAGCATTGATGAAGGTCGATCAAATGCACCAGAACATCACTGAATAATTTAGATTGCTGTGATAAAGTATCAAGGAAAGCTCTTAAAAAACCACATGGATAAAGGATGTTTTTGAAAATCCTGGGAAAGAGTAGCATCAGTTTAAGTATGGTAACATTCCACAAGTGTTCTCTTAATCATGTGGTATGCTGGCTTTCTTGTTCTGCACTGCAAATAACGCTAAAATTGGGGAAAGAATGCCTATATTTGGAATTTCTGTATGCTCTTATGTTCTCTGCCAGTTTGCAAAAGGTAAGGTAGTTTACAGTAATGCTTTTCTACCTCTCTTTCAGAAAAAGTCACTAGAGTCCATAAACTCTAGGCTTCAGCTGGTTATGAAAAGTGGTAAATATGTGCTGGGTTACAAACAGACTCTGAAAATGATTCGGCAGGGCAAAGCCAAGTTGGTCATCCTAGCTAACAATTGTCCTGCTTTGAGGTAGGTAGATGATAAATGAAAAAAACAGTCCTCTTTAAAATTAAGATGGGTGTTTGCACAAATGCAGCACGTACTTCATGTTGCTTACTATGATGAAGTTTTAGTGCAAAATACTAGCATATTGCTATGAAATAAAAGTGATGGATTGTGTGGGGGGGGGAAAAAAAGAAAAAATCGGTCTGGATATATCAGAATGCTTCTCAGCTGTTTTCCAGCTTTGTATACTACAAAGCTTGTGTTAGAGAAGATATGTTTTCATGCTCTGATAGCATTCATTAAAAGCATAATAGAATGGCAATTAATTTTTTTTTCAAAAGGAGTATATTGGAAAAATAAGATTATAGTTAGGAGAGCTATAGTAAGTGACACTGATTTAGTGGTTGAAGGGATTTAGTGGTTGAAGGTTATGACATTTGCTGACATGCGGTCTAAAATAAGCTCTAAATTTAAGTTTGTTCCTGGCCAGTAAAATTCCTTTTTTGTTAGTGAACTCTTTACCTTCTGTCTTCTCACATGTTCTGTCTTGTAGTTTTGAGTCCTTTTGTTATCAAAGGGTATTGACAAATAAAAGAAACTGACAGAGTAAGATAACATAGATGCCTGAGAAAGGGCAGCACTGTTACAGTGGGTAACACCTTAGTGTGAATCTGAGAAGAGCTTAAGGAAAAATGGTGGCCAATCTAATTTCCTGGTGGAAGGCAAAAGAGAAGGGAACATAGGTTGACGTTTAAAAAAAAAAAAACAAAAAACAAAAAAAACCCCACACAGTTGATCTCACAGCCGAGGCAGCCAAATCTGTTCAACCTCTTACGGCTGGGTATCAGCATTAATAATGGTCGTCATTTATGCAGTTGGCATAGCTCCTACTACTTTTCAGAAGTCTAAAAGTCCTGAATACCCTTCTTTACTGAGTGTTTATGTTTAGAAACAACTTACAGGGTTTGAATTTAGCTTGCTGCTACACGTCTTCAGCATGCTCCTGGATGAGGGTTCCAGAGCTGCAACATGATTTTGCAAGAAATAATGTTGTTTATTTTGTTTTTGGTTTTTTTTTGAGTGGGAGGGGAAAAATGCTTAGGACTTAAGTATGGTCGGAGCTAAAGCTACTCTGTGGCTGTATTATGAACAATCAGAATTGTTTTTCAGTACTTTAATATCTAGTTTTGGAATTTCAGAAAATCGGAGATTGAGTACTATGCTATGCTTGCAAAGACTGGTGTCCATCATTATAGCGGCAACAACATTGAATTGGGTACAGCATGCGGAAAATACTACAGAGTGTGCACACTGGCTATCATTGACCCAGGTATGCGTATCTGTCTGTGTAATGACGAAATAACGCAGGAATCAGTGGTTCCTTCGTTACCTGTCAGCAGTGCTGAGCAAGTAATACGCAGGAGTAATGTCATACTTCGGTGTCCCTTTTTGTTGGGCTTAACTTTAAATTTCCTCTGACTGAGATCATGATTGTACTTTATGAATCCTAGCTTCTTAAAACATGGAGTTCTTGCTTCTTGTGTTTGCATAGAACTCCTTTTACTGTTAAACCCAGTGAGTGTGTGTTTTGTTTCTTTTCTGTAGTGAGGTTTCAGTGGCTGGTGAGAAACTTTACAGTATATGTTTTTGAGACCATCTGCTAGAATACCAACTTGTGAAACATGCTTTCTGCATCAACTTCTTTCGACCTTTGTTAATCTAAGACAAAGGATCTCTGTAATTTGCCAGATTGTGAGTTGTCTTGCTTCCCAGAATGACATGTAGGAAAAGAAGCTATATATAAGTGGATAGTTATCTAGCTCCAGGGTTGAATATTACATTAAGTATGTTTTATCTTAAAACAGTAAATCTGTGCATAATTACTCTGGGTTGGTAGCAACCTTTGTCCCAGTACCTTCAGTTCTCCATGGAAACTGCTAATTAAGTGACTTGCCCAAAAACTTCCAAAGTGAAGTCCAAAATCTTTTAGATGAAGAATCAAATTCTTTTTCATTGTTGTGTTTGTTGACCAAAAGCATTTTCATTAAATGCATAGGTATGAATGCAATGTTTTCTATATTAACTTTCACCAAATGTTTCCCAAGTAAAATCAATTTGAATTCACTGATTAGTTTATTAGTTTTAAGAAGGATTTATTTCGCTTGTTTGTATTCAAATACTAGCTGTAAGTTTCGTTACCTTTCTTCCTGATTTCTTGGCTGTTGTGTTAGCATCTTTGTGTTCAGCTGCTTATAAGCTAAGGAGCTGCAATTAAATCTTAACCATGTGATTTAATGCGAATATTCTCGCTGTCCTGATATTTTGGTGATCAGGGGAGGCTAGACATTCGCTATATTAAACCTATGCATTGTGTCCCCCAGGACTAGAGTGCTGTTCTAGTGCTGGCTTTGTAAATGCTAGTGACAGATGCATAATTATCATGAATACATGTTACATTCTCTATGGATTAGCAAAGTGCAGTTACGAGTATCTTTATCAAGCCATCAAAATTCTTTGCTTTGTTTCTAACTATAATTTTTTTGCATTACTTCTAAGTTTTTCCTGTTTGTAGAATCAATGTTCATTAATATTGTATGGTTTATTCCTGAAAACAGATCTTCCTGTGGGTCCTCTTATAAGAATGTATTTTTGTTTTACAGGTGATTCTGACATCATTAGAAGCATGCCAGAACAAACTAGTGAGAAGTAAATGCTGTAAAGGTGCTCTTTCTACAATAAAACTGGCTGCGAATCTGTTTTAAGAAAAATTTGTATTGTATTACACCTTTGGTTTTAGGGGACAAACTGTATAAATGAAGATTCATTATTGCTGTTGTGTTTCCTGTTCTGTTAGAAATACCTTCACGGGACAAAGCTTGCCTGTTGCTTTCTCTAGAAGCTGTGCATCTCAAAAAGAATAATAGAATAAATTGTTCACGGTAAGTATGGTATCAAATCCCAACAGGACAGGGCTTTCTTAGATGTTTTGGAGTGCTAACACAAAATAAGCTTTTAAACTTCTCTGTTAAAATATGAATTTGCACTTAGCACGAGTTACCGTAGCGAATTTAGGATGTTGAGGGGAAAAATCCAAGGGTTTACTTGTTCTAAAACCAATTGAAACACTTTTTATTAAGCCTGTCACAAAGCACTAATAGAAATGGCAAATAGTATAGCTGCTAGGCATGATACATACTGTCAATAAGATAGGAAGTTAACTTCTTAAAGCTGGTCAGAAATGAGTCCCTTTTCTTTTTTTGTTTCTGAAGATGTTATGTTAGAGACAGGTAACTTGAAGTTCTCTAGTCACTGTTGGTGAAGGTGTCAGTGTCTTCTGGATTTGGGCCAGTTTTTGTCTGAGACAGTGGTTGCAGGATATTTCTTATTCGTGATTATTAAATGTGGTGTGAGTGTTTGCTGGCATGTGATAAAAGCAGCATCAAACAAAATCCTCTGTGTGGCAGCATCTTCACAGAACTGGCATTTTTTGCCAAAGTATGTTTAAAGCACAAGGTGCCAACTGTTAAAGCCAACTGTTAGGAACCTATGCATGCTCATTAGCTTCTCTGAGATCACTTAATGTAGCCTCTGCTGCAACTACCATTGTTTCCAGTATAGAACAGGTGAAGTTGTGAACTACTGACCAGAGGTAGACAAAGAGTAAACTAATGTGTCAAAGCAAAGGAGGAATTGCTGGTATCTCTACCTGTTAAGCCCAAATTTGCATCAGTTCAGGAAATAGTTTAGATACTGCTGTTGTTCTGGAAGTAAAGCTAGGAAAAAAGTGCAGTCACTTACATGTGAAAGGAGAAGAACTTCTAGGCACTTCAGTCTTCAGAGTGGCTGGAAGTAATTTGCTGTTTTCATTTGAGTCTCAGAGTTTGTCAAACAAACGTGCTGCAGGTTGCATTGCCAACAGATTAGCTTCATATGTAGAATACTGGCTGTGTTCAGGAGAGTTCAAGGATCACTGAAGCTGACCAAAGAAGAGTAGGGAGAAGTAACCTGGTCTGGATGTGACAAGGGAAAAGGTACTTGGAACTTCGTATTGTAATACCATGATAATCCAGCAGGCTTTTCCACTTCATTCGTTTACTTTCATCATAGTTGAAACACAAACGTATAAACTTGTGTTTTCTCTTACAACTGATTTCACTGCTCTACACTTGATGGAAAGGATATGGAACCTAATTGCTGTGAATGCTGCCACGCTCTTGTTTTTATATATGCATGTGTGTGTATATATACATGTATGTATATATAGATGCATGTGTGTGCATGTGTGTATATATAATATGTATATCCACACAGATACAGTGCTTGAAATAGGGGAGTGAATGGATGAGGGAAGCCCAGAAGAAAACAAGCCAAATAAATAGTATTCATACCCTAAAAATGCTTCAAAACATGGAGGTTTCACTTCAAAAAAAAAATAACAGCATTTTATTATTTTGCATAGCTTATTTCAGCTGTTTAGTTCTACTTAATTAAAATTTTTACTAGTTACTAAATGGTTTATACATATAAAAACTTTTCAACATTTTTTATCTGCAATCAATGCAAGACAGTACAAATAGTATATAAATGTGAGGGTCCAAAATGTTCTTTTCAACTTCATACACAAGGATTTGTTAGTTTACTTTGAGCTGATCTAATAAAATAGCTCTTACAACTTTGTATAAATATAATGTAGTGTACACTTTAAATTTTCATCGATATCTTAGTCTGTTTTCCAAGTCTTCCATTCTCTTCGTCATTTCTTCCAGTAGGCAAAAGTTAAGGAAAGAGCTGTTGAAAGTATGAATTAGTAGAAAAACAATCTGCCAGACGACTGGCTCTACTGAAAGGAAGAAACTGCAGCAATGACAGGCAATGTATGGCAAGCATCACCTCTCTGGTAGCAGTCCTATTGATCTGAGGTGCTAATGTCTGTTGTACCGGTCCATCCTTCTCCAACCATTTACCTCCAGAGCCACAATAATGATGTAAGGCTGGAGCTAGAGGAATCTGAGGTGAAGAGGGGACCTAGCAACCACAGATCTCTGGTGGCAGTGAGGCCTAGTTTTGAAGGACTGAGTTGCTGTACTTACTGCTCACTCCTTTTTGCAGTGGAATTTACAGTCTTGATTTGAACATGATGAGGTGTTACACGATGAAAAAGGGAGAGGGCCTCACTTCACACACACATCGATAGCAGTAAAGTTTTTGGGTGGGCAAGTTAGCTACTTCCAAGTGAGTATATATGTAATGTGCTGACCTTACAGTGAAGCTGCATTTTGGGAATTGGAAGTTTTTATGCTCACTCCTTTCCTTCCCCTTCCTTCCTCAGTGCTTCTTTGTTTTCCTGGCTGTTTTAAAGATTCCAGCCACATGGTCCTTATACCTCTTTCCCAAATGTTCAGCATATTGGGAGTTGCTGAATAATATCATGTTTCACTTGTCGCTCTTCTGGGCTGTTCATCCAAGTTGCTTCTCTCATCGAGGCGTATATTCATTAAATATTCTCCTCCACATTACTTAAAGCTTGTAAAAAGGAGGGGTTTGCCCGCGTATGCTTGTAGTGGTATAACCTCTTGCTTGGACAGCTGCTCTGGGAAAAAAACATCTGTGTGGAATTCTAATGTGTTAGTAAAGTGTTATGTTGCAGGCAAACCTACAGATGGCTGTGTTAGCCTGACTCTGACAGACTAAACTCTGCAGGTGCCTCTTTCTGAAGTTGTTCTTGTCTAGGAAGCACGCAATCCTAAGTTATTTAAATCACTGCACTCTTCTGTGCCGAAAATAAGTCTTTATTTCTGCAATTTTCTCCAAGACTTAAATAGAAGACATGATGTCTTACTAATTAATTTGTTTGATTAGGCAGAAGCAGCTTTCATGAAGAAAATATGCAGGAATTTGCTGCATAAATATTAACACAATGCAAAATACTGCAGAAAGTTGTATTGCCAACTTACCGCTCTTTTCTTGTGAGACATCTGGTGGATGTTACAGGTATTTTAAAGGCTTCTGCGCTAGTAACTCCCTTAAAAAGCCACAGTAATGTGCATCCCCCTCCTCCAAAAAAGCTAGAGATCTACACTTAACCCCTTGTTACTCTGCATATTTGTTTTTTGCAAAGTCAATCAGACCCCGAGTTCTATGAGTAACACTGACACTCTTCATTTGGAATATTATTTTAAATGACTCATAGCATCTGGTGCTTTGCCTAGCAGTTCAGGAGGGAAATATCTCCAGTATTCTGATGTAATGGTTTCCTGTAGACAGTAAGTGCTATTTGGATACTGGAGAAGTAAAACAACCAAAGCAAAGAATATTAGACTTGAGTTTTACCAGTTGTTTCTTTGCTGTCCCTGAAGGTGTTTACTGTTATGGATTATTCAAAATTAAGATCCTTACTAGTATTTTGGTTCCTTCTCTGAGGGAGAGGTGGATTTTAAGTCTTAAGAGCCTTGCTTGGAGTCTTAACATTGCTAAGTAGTTCAGTGTTTCATTAAAACATTCTTCTGAGCCCATGGAGGCAGTTTAGGCTGGATGGGTTATATTAATCATTTTTAACCTTTTAATCGGTTTTAACCTGTCCCTCTTGTGCATTTTGAAGAAACAATTATTGTGAAAGGATATATCGCTGGGTGAGTTTTCTTACTTCAGTGGTTGCATAGTTCTGGAATGTCACAAGGTTTTCACATTTGCATTGGTCTTTATCTTTTGAAGCTTTTGCTGAAAAACAGAAACAGTCAAGCATATGCTTAGAACACTGAATAAATCCAGCAAGGTGGGGGAGGGAATGACAAGGTTGTCTAAATGCAGAGCGGCTTTACTACAACTTCCTGTTCTCAAAACAAGTCAACATCCAAAGAAATGCTATGGGAAACATGTTATAAATACTGGAAAACAGAACACAAAACTTCTTAGCCTGTATATTCAAAGAGAATTCTGGATTATCTAAACAAAGATAACCTAATTACCTGTTGTTCTTGTTGAGTAAGTGTGACTGTCTTCAAATAGATACTTATGGTGTACTGCAAAATTGGGACAGGCAAGGACATCTACGATGGCTACTGTGGCCGATTCTGGTCCTGCAGGAAACCCCCAAAAGATCTAAAAATCAAACCCACTTTACTTATACAGTATTTTTGCCACTCACATGCATTGAGTCTCCTTAATGAGTGAGTGCTCCTTAATGCGTGAGTAATCTCACTGGTTGCAGTGAGGATCATTCATGGAGAGGACTAGTGACAGAAAGATGTGAAGGAACCAAGCTGTTAGGCTGTATTTGCTGTATATGCAATTTAAGTTGTGGGTTGCAGAACTGAAAGGGAGTTGTGAAGGTTTCTGTGAGCTTTACCACTTTAGAGTTGATGAACAGAAGTGATTGAAAGCTGAACATGCTTTGAAGCACAGTGTGTTGAAATACAAGTTTCCCCTTGAAGTAATTCATTTGGATGGTGTAAAAACGGAGCATGCAGCCGTGCTTTTATTATAGTGAATCTCAGAAGTTGTTCTGTACGAAGCAGCATTGACTTGCAATAGAAAGGAGAGGGTTTTCTTGAGTAGTGTGGGGAAACAGTTCTCTCATAGGTGAATTGCTAGGGTTTTCTGCAGAGGATGGCATGAAGAAGCAATTTAGCAAGGATCTGGGGGAGAGCTAACCTGAAGACTCCGGACCAGTCCTATGAAGCGTCCCAAATGATGGATCCTGCTGGCGAGCTGATTCTTGCAAAGCTGGCAGAAAGAAATTGCCAAAGGAAATGAAATCTTAAAAGGAGCAATAAAAATGTTTTCATTCCCTCGAAATTGAGATGTTTCTTACCAGTAGCATTCTGTTGGTGCCTTTTTCATAATGCATGGGGAATGCCTCATACCTGTGCAGTTTGGAAGAGGTCCAGTGTTGATGGAAACTCCAGAACTTGCCCTTCAGCTGAGGTTATTTTAAGAACTCTTCCAAAACTAGAAATGCTTCAGCAGCAGATTAATAGCAGTGAAGAAACTTGAAATTACAGCAGCCTACTTGGTGTCCTTTAAGTGAAAATTTGTTATATGTTTTATTGTCATCCATCAGTTCTGTGGGGTGAACTAAATGAGAAGAACTGAGTACAGAAAAAACTTCTCATTTGACTTCTCTTTTCTCCTTTCTAATGGAAAATGTTGATTAGAATCAGTGTATTCAGATCAGAGCGCAATAGAACTTTTTGTAACACTAGAATTACAAGCAAAAATACAACTGTTTCTAATTCATGAATCATAATTTTTGTAGAGTAGGAACTTATTTTAGAATCCATGTAAACATTTTTTCGTTAATGGATGTCTAGAGAGAAATGGAAACCTGTTTTATATGTAGGTATAAGCACCTGAATGAGTATTTTGTACATTTTCCTCTTAACTGCCCCAAGAGGCTAACATAGAGACAGCTTTTGTTTCTGGAAGAGATATATATTTTTTTTCCTACAAAATGAACGCTTCACCTTTAATTAACTGTGGAGCCCTTGAGGGCCCAGATGAGCTGGAGGACATAAATTTAACAGCTGATCAGCTGCATACCTTGATCAGCAATGTTAGGGGACCTGATGGAGCATCTAGGGCTCCCTCTCTGCTAATCTCGCCAGGGTTCTTTCCACTGAAGGTGAAAGCATGAGGGAAAAGGGGATGGTGCAACCTCTCCTGACATGCCCTGAAGATGCATGAGAAAGGTGGAAGATGCTTTTAGGCCTTATGGTTTTGTTAACAGCTATTTGGATCTCTAATATTGTTGGTTTAGTGAATCTTGGCAGATGCACGATACGCAGATGACTTAAGTGGTACTGGGAAGGAGATGAGCTACTTTGTGTAGGGCCTGGAATGACCAAGCATGAACAAGAAGACGAAATGAGCGGAGATGAGTGATTTGGTAAGGAGACCGGAGTTCAGTAGGAAGAACTAAGATACTTGCATATGTCCAAATGCATGACTGGGAGCCAGCTGGTGTGAGGAATACGGACATCTTGGAGAAGGTGCCCAAGGCAGAGAGGTGAGTGGGGTGAGACCATGCGGTAATGAAGAAGCTGAGTGAGCAAGGATTCCAGTATAAGAATGAGGAACTGGGAAGCAGGATGGGGAATTCCAAGTATAGGAGAGCAGAGACAAGAAAGAAGAACCTAGAGGAAGCATTTGGCCCACGGCAATGAATTGATCTAGAAGTGGTTTAAGAGATAAAGGCTAATGGGAAAATTGTCTAGGAAGAGCAGGGGGACTGAGGCGGAAAGTTTGAGTTCTAGACACTGGGCTCACACAGACAAAGAGATTCGGATTAAGATGTAAGGGAGAGGAAAGAAACAAGACTGATGCGTTGGTAGAGGTGGGGCAGAAGGTCTCAGGTTTGGGATGGGGATCGAGCATTTCAGAAGACTCCTCTTCAGGCTTCAGAATCTGATTTGGAGAGATCTCTGATCTCATAACCTCTGTCACAGCTGTGAAAGGTGAGACAAGTACAGACAAAGGCTGCTAACACTAATAGAGAGTCCTTGCCTGAAGTCAGTGCAGTGAACATAAATATTCAAATCTTGTTGGGGAAGCATGCTAAAGCTGAGTAGCAGTTTTTAGTTTTCTGGTTTGGAACAAACCCTAAATACTATGCTAGAAAAAGCCTATGAGAAAATGAAGGACTGTGTCTTCAATTGCTGTTTATGTGCAGCAGTGATACAGTTCTACAATTTGGAAGAACAGGCTGTTAACCAGCAGGCTGTTAAATGAGTACTGTCATCTAACCAGGGCTGGGGTCTTGTGATTAAAAAGAATGTGTTGCCATTTAATTAAAGGCTCCCATAATATACGTGCTCGGAACAGGGGAGGAGAGGTAATCGTGAGTGCATATTATGTATAACGTTGCTGTAGCCTTGCTGGTGCTTCCATTCAGAGCAGAAATGAACATTGATGAAGGCAATGGATGGAAACCTGACTGAATTCCTCTTGATAAGATGCAAAAGAGACCCCCCCCACACACACTTTTTGTTTACTACTACTCATTAAAAATAATAAATACTAAACAACTATTCTACCAAGCTGATGCTTTCTTGCAAAGTAAAAGTAAAAAGCCTTACCCCAAAACAGATTTAGGGGGGCTCCTTTACTTGGAAACACACAGCCCATCCACAGCTGGGACTGGGGATGAGAGGCTTAGTCAGTGGAGTCCATGTGCTGGCTGCATGAGGGTCAGAGGTTCCCTCACTGCCCTCGCAGGCTGGAGCCTCAGAAGTCCTCAGCTGAGGACAAAGAGAGATTGAAGTCAAAATGAAATTAGTGTTGTTACATAGAAGGGGAACAAATTTAGGCTGTAAACCAAAATGGAGAGGAGAAATTGAACTTTCAACTTGTGTTACAGGCTTGAAGGCAGAACATCTGGTGGACTGAGTTGATGAGCAATAGGTAGTTCTGGAGTGTCCAGAAAAAAAAGGCTGGGCCAATCCTGAATTCACAGGTGTGAGGCATTGCCTATTGGTGAGATGGGAGGAGGAGGAGGGAAGCTGTGAGGCACCAACTCTGCCCAGTTACTAGAAGTGCAGTTTAGAAACTGCCACAAAGGGGCAGGATTTACTTATTTTTCATGTAGCAGGTGATAGATTTTAAAAAGGGGGTGGGGGGGGAACGGGGGAAATTGTGGCAGCCAAAAACCCCTGCAGGTACCTGAGGGATGTATTACCACCACTGAGCTCTGGGGTTTGCTAATGAGTGAGAATTATTATACCAGTTGCCAGATAATTTTGGCCTTGGAATCTCCCCAGCTTTGAAGATGACGTGCTGTCATCAGCAGATTATCTACCTAGTAAGAAGGTTAATGAACAGACTTTCATATCATCATAGTATTTTGTATTTCACAAAGATGGAGCCAGAAGATTCTTAGGACTAAGGGAAACACAAGCAATAATGCAATCTATGAAACATTCTCAGATTCTTTTTTTTCCAGATTCTTCCTAGACATCTGTATGAGGGAGAAATACACCACTTGTTAAAAGAAGAAAAAAAAAAAAAGAAAAAAACCCTGCATTAAATTTGCATTAAATTCTAAGAAAAAAACCCTCCAAACTCTAGTAAAAGTTAAACCATTCTGTACAATTCTAATGCCCGCTATTTGGTGATGTTTCTGAATTTTGCTTCAGGTACCAGTTTGAAAGTACAAGTAATACTGAGTCCTGGGAGTATATTAGTGGGAGGGATACACTGTCTTCTCTCTGCTTCAACAGCTTTCATCCCAGCTCACGTTCCCCTTCCTTTTGCAAAACTTCAGGAGGGAATGTTTAGAGAGAGGCTGTTTGTGCCGGAGCAAGGAAGGGTGCTTTCTGGAATATAGGGTAAAACTTGGAGGTTATGCACAGTTACTGTATTTTGAACTCTTTGTATTTTTGAAAGTATATTCCATGAATTAATTTTGATGTTCTGTAAATATGTATAATAGCTCTTTATGATTTCTTCTGCTGTATTTTAGCTTTTTGCCACTTCTCTTAAGAGCAATTGTTTATTCTCATTAAGGCATTATAAATCATGGACACTTTTTTTCACATTCCCAATGAATTAGATCATGCTGCTTTGGCTGGGTGGGGTTTAGTGCACAGATGACCTAAGGGTAGCAAAAAGAAAGGGAGGGAGTAATCAATTCTGCTGGGCTCAGAAGTGTCTGTTTTATGCAACCTTTATGACAACAAAGAAAAGGAAATTATAATATACCTTTTCCTGGATTTTGATTAATGGTATGTATTCCTCACATACTAAAGGGCAGAAATATTACCCTGAGTTACTTATGTCTTGCAACATCTGTGACTAATGGCCTATATTATGACAGAGGTCACACTGAAAAAAACTGTCCTTTCAGGCCTGCAAATAAATCTATAAGCATTCATTCGTCTGTCTCAGTGAAAGTAGAATACTGCTACCTTCACATATTTGGACTCTTAGCTTTTCACTTATCTCCTCCATGGCTGTGAAATCCTCTGCGTAGAAGAGATGTTTATGTGATGGCTCAGAAGCAATTTCCAGCAGTTCTTCCTCAATTGCTTTTCCTATTCCAACAGCATAGATAATTATACCTAGATTCAAAATAAATTGCACATAATTACTACATCAGCAGTTTTAAACCCTGTTCCTCTACGAAAGGAAAATACGAGTATTAGTCACTTTATGCATAGAGGGAGAGCGCAATAAGTGCATGTGCTGTGTATCTCCCAAATTGTGTTTGAACAGGCTTACTATGCTCTGCTTATTTAACAATTGTGTAGAAACTCACTGCTTTGTAGTAATTGAACAGATAATTTTCAAGTTAAAGAAGTGGCAGTTGCCTGGCCCCTACTGATAGTAAATGAACCCAGAAAAGAGTACTGCAAAGCATCCAAGAGAAGCATACGTTTTAAGTCAGTCTCACAGCTGTACCGAAAGCTCCTGGTTTTTGTGTGTGTGTGTATAGGGGTGTGTGATAAAGCTGGCTGATAGAGAGATCTGATGTGTGTCAGCAAGTGGAGCAGAAGCTGGAAAGAAGCCAGTAATTTCTGAGAAAAATGTAAACGCTTAGTTTTTGCACTGGAATCCTCAAAACACATCGAAGCTAGGTTCCTGCATCCTAAGGGACACCAGTGGGCTGGGAGACGCAGCAAAGGGAACCCAAACCTATGAGGGGAGGAAGAACAGGGGAAAAGAATTGACTTGTGGGGCTAGGAAAGAAAGAGCCTTCGAATAGAGGCACTTGGTACAAGCGTCCCCACTGCAGATGTGTTAGGGACAAAGGAAAAGATGATTCATGGTCCTTTTCACTCTGACAGCGGGGCAGGAGGAAAGGATTCACACTCCTCTCACCTGATAGATTTTAAACAAGCAGCAAAGACTAAGTATAGTGATCTTCAGTATCCCCTTTTTCAGCAGTTGACTAGAAACCTTTTATTCTGACAAACATATGATCTGATGCGACCTCTTGATTTATATCAGTTCTGGCTTAGAAAGCGTTCACAACTAGTACCGATTTTGTGATTGCAGTATATTAGAAAAAAATACAAGAATTCGCTTCATAATACAACAATTAGCTTCATAGCGATTGAAGCACTGTTTTAAGACGCAAGAGCAGAAGCTGACTTTTCAGCCGGATGGTTTCAGATAAAACAGAGGGTGGGCAGGTTTGATAGCTCTTTATCATCACTGGGTAATAGTGGCTACACGCTTACTCAGCTGCAGCTTTAACCCTCTCACTGAAGAATCCTGGGCCTCGTGACATTTTAAAATATGTATTTTCCAAGTCTTTAGCACTTTGTTCAAACATCTCCTTGCTTCCTATCATGAATCTGCCTGCCGTTGTGCTTTAGCCAGGAAAGTAAAACACTCACCAGAAACTGATTCAATTCACTGAATGGACCAGTCATGCTGAGGTCTGTTGCTTTTTAAAGACTTGGAGATATCTGTGATAAAACATTCAAGGCCAATTTCATATTCAGCATTACTACGTTGCCTACACTGCAATTACACAGGGGATGGATTTGGCTTGTAGCGTTACAAACACCAGTGTAAGCAGTCCAGGGCTGAGGTTTCATTCAGCAAGTAAGCAAGGTTGGCTTGTACTTCTTTCCTTCTTCAGTTCTGTAAATTCTCCATGTACTCTCCCAGACGTCACCACTTAAGCCATAAATCTTTGGTTTTGTTTTTAGCTTTTAAACAACGTTTTGTTGATATTCCATTGTGACAGCAAACTTCTTAGCTCTGTTGCCTCCTAGGCTCAATTTTGCCACACTACTCCTTTTCTCATCCTTGTACACGCTCCCTTTTCTCCTTACAGAGAGGTATCAGTGCTGACCATGGCTATACTAATCATGCATCAAGTCATGATTGGTATGCTAAGTCAATGAAACTGAAAACGACAAAAAATGTGCAGCACCTTCTAAAGTCTGACTGCTTTCTCTGTGCTGGAGGCCATCAGCCCAGGTTCTTAATAGAGTTTCTCGTAAAATAGAAAATGTTCTGCAAAAAAAAAAAAGGTTCCTTTATTTTCTTGAAATGTTTTGGAAATTTTAAATCAGCTCAGCTGAAGAGCTGAAAATCTTGTGATTTTTGGTACAGCTGTCCTGGAGGATGGATTTCTGCCCCAGAAATATTTGATATTAAAAATCACCAGTTTTCAATTACATTTCAGCATGAGCCACCATCCAGCAAGGCACATAGAAAGAGAAAGACAGACAGCACTACCGCTTATTTCTCATATCCTTCTGACCTTGGAATGACATGCCTTATAGCAAAGGCTTCTGTGAATACCCAAGATTTGAACGTCTGCTGCAGTGGTCACTGTACTAGCCAGTGCACTATGGCAAACTCTCTCTCGATTAGCACATACTATAGCATCCTGTTTTTAACAATATTTGCCTTTATAAAGAATGAAAAACATCTCCAGTTACCCTTTTGCTTTGCTCTAGTAGCCCACTCAGAGACTTCATCTTGGGCTCGTCCATCTGTAAACACAATGGCGACTCGGGGGACTTTTGCTGAAAACGGTCTGGCTCCTTCCATTTCTGTGAAGCTCCTCTCAAACATTTGCTTCAGAGCCAGCCCTGTCATGGACCCTCTCCCCATGTATTTCATTTGAGATACGGCTTTCTTCATGTCTTTGGCTGAGCTGAACTGCCTTAGTGTAAACTCTGTGCGGACTTCAGTGGAATACTGAAGCAAACCGACTCGAGCAGCTTTGGGTGAAATCTCAAGTGAATCTAAGATTTCTGAGACAAATTGTTTTACAATTTCAAAATTGTTTTCTCCAAGACTTTTTGATCCATCAATCACAAATACCAGGTCAACTGGGCCTTCAGTGCATCCTGTAAAATAAGCAGTACAATTAGTCAGTCAGTGTGAGGCTAAGGCCTGCAATGTTCATATCATGAAAGAGCTCCACAAAGCTGAAAATGGGAGTTAGATACCTGGGAACTGCATGAACACAGAGGTGTCCAGAATACCTTGTTTCTGGCACAGTCAACCTTCCAGCATGTCTAAATATGTTGCGTAGAGTCTATATCAAAAACTAAGACTATGCCAATGACTATGACTTTAACAAAAAATATAGTCATAGTAAATACTGCACCTAGCTAACCGGAAAGGTCTGTAACTTTTCTCATCACCATTTAAACTGATTGCAGACTAGACCAACAGATCCTGCAGGCGGTTGTCTGAAGGGCATAAGTGATGAGGGTTTGGGATTGTTAGATACCTCCTGAGAGCGAAAGTTACCAAAACAGATCTCCCTCAAAAGAGAAGTCTACATATGTTCTTTCCACATTTCTTTCTGCTTTCAGTGCAGAAGTTACTGAAGAGTTTTGTTACCAAGTCAGAGCAAGGATAAGGAAGTTCAGTTATGAAGCTTGGACTGTTCTTCTTAGACAATAGCTCCATTTTAGAACTGCGGTGCAAGAATTCCTTTCTCCAGACATCCAAGGGAAAAAATGTGTCACACCTACTGAGGTAATGGAAATGCAATGAATATGAACATCAGAACCTGTGTTTTTTTAATTAGGGTTGAGATCTGCCATGAGCATGTTACCATACTTCTGGTAATAATAATAATAATCTCCCCAAGTAAGGTACCCATTTTGCAGAATAAATGTTTTCATTGTGTTCCAGTTTAAAAAAAAAAAAAAAAAAAAAAAAAAAAAAAAAAAAAAAAAAAAAAAAAAAAAAAAAAAAAAAAAGTTTCTTCCTCAACAATTAATGGATGATGGGATGAATTGGAAAGTGATCTACATATGTCATGTTAGAAGATAAGAAAATAGAATTAGTGATATTTTAAAATGAAACATACAAAGATAGAAGCTCCACAGTATAGGGATCTGGTTAAAGTCCACATTCCTTGATAATATGATTTCACTCTAACTTTTTTCCTGATGTTTGGAAAGGATTTTTATTGTGCCTGATAATATAGCAAAATAACTGTTCCAATTTACTAATTTTTGCTTACAAGAACATCAAGTTAAATGATTCAAGGCATTTTCCATCACACTCACATATGCTTTTGGACTTCAAATATTATATCAGTTTTGAAGTGAGGCATGGCAGGTCAAGTAATTTTAAAAATCAAAGAAACAAATACTTTACAAATAAAATCTACTTACTTTTGCAGGTTTTCTGATCCTCTTTTAATACATATCCCTCCTGGCATTTGCAGATATATGAATCATCATTATTAACACAAATATGTTCACAACCATGGGCAACTGATTTGCAGACATCTTTACCTAGGAATAATTGAAATATTTATGGAGCGTTCTATTTCAAAAATTTCTAAATTCAAAGACTAAAAACATGATATTTGAAGAATGTATGACAAAGAAATAGACCATCGTTGTTCTTTTATGTAGTAATGCCAGAGCAGAGTGACTGATAGACGTACTCAGTTACTTACTTCGACATGTTTTCCCATCTTGTCGCAGGACAAAGCCTTCATGGCACTGACAGCTGTATGAATTGTTATTACTAATGCAGACGTGTTCACAGCCATGGTCAATGGCTTTACACAGATCTTTATCTGAGAATTGTTAAGAGAATTTCCTTATTAGATTGCTTCTCAAACGCAAAACTACACGAACAAGCTTTGAGTCTGTTATCTCTTTTGTGACTGAAAACACATATCCCCCATAAAAGTTCAAGCTACTCACTCCTGCAGGTTTTCCTGTCTTGCCTCAATATAAATCCCTTGTGGCACTGGCAAATGTATGAATCACCAGTTGGAACACAGACATGTTCACAACCATGGTTGACTGTTTTGCAGATATTTTTACCTGGGAATAATGAAAATGATATTTAGCACAGTTGGCTAGGTAAAGAACTTTCACAAAATGTAAAAACTATAGCAATAATCTTCCATGAAAAATCTCACTTCCATGAAGTTAATTCTGTGTTAAAGATGCAAATGGCATGCTACTGTTGCATAGTGTGTTTTATTCGGAGATCAGAAAGTACAACACATATAGTAACAACTTACTATACACAGAAAAAAGAAACAACTTACTTCTGCAAGTTTTCCCATC